CCCCCCCCCAACAATCTGGGTCCTCATTTTACCCACCTCAGAAGGACGGAAGGCTGAGTCAACCTGGAGCCTGGTGAGATTCAAACTGCCAAACTGCACTCAGCCAGCAGTCAGCAGAAGGAGCCTGCAGTACTGCACTCTAATCACTCCACCACCCCGGCTCTTATTATTAATTTGCCCCCACTGTAGAGATTTGCGGAATGAGTTTGTAATAGCTTACCTCATTAAATGCTGATCCCTTTTACATAGAACCACTATTGTCGTGTCAACAGGATTCCATTTCTCTGATTGTAGCTAAGTTTTGTTAAACGATCTGTAAAATTAGGCAGAACTTGGTCACCCACTGACAATGTCACCGTCGCTTGTGGCCTTTTGGAACGGTGGCTGAAGTCAAGGGCTGGGTTTCCACTTCTGTCCAGGGAGTTTCCCATTCATTTGGGGTGTGGATGAGCCACAGTGGTGAAGTGGTCAGAGTGCAGTACTGTATTTCTGCCAACTGACACATGCCTGCAATTTGGCAGATCGAATCTCACCAGGCTCAGGGTTGACTCAGCCTTCCGTCCTTCCGAGGTGGGTAAAATGAGGGTCCAGATTGTTGGGGGGCAAAAGGCTGACTTTGTAAATCGCCTAGAGAGGGCTGTATATAAGTCTAAGGGTTAGCCTGTGTATTTGTGCCTGGCCTGAATATATGAGCCATGCACCTGCAAAGTAAAATTATGCATTTCATGAACTTTTGATATGCCAAGATCGAAAGCTTTGCTTTCCTTGATCCATTCATCCCTGCAAGAGGCAGGGGAAAAAAGCTCATCCTACCCAGATAATACGTTGGAGTGCTGGAGAGAGCACAATAGAATAGCAGATTTATATCCCACTTCACAGTGCATTACAGCCCTCTTTAAGAGTCAGCCTCTTGCCCCCCAAAATGAGGGTCCTCATTGTACCCAAGGATGGATGGCTGAGTCAACCTTGAGCTGGTCAAGGTTGAACTGCTGGCAGTGGGCAGAATTAGCCTGCAATACTGCATTCTAACCACTGCACCACTGTGGCTCATGGGTAGATATAGAGATAGAAATAGAGAGATAGAGATAGATACAGATACAGTTATAGAGCCTGTCAGGGTTGAACTCCTGGCAGGGGCACAATTAGCCTGCAATACTACATTCTAACCACTGCACCATCACAGGTGAGAGGGAGGGAGAGGGAGGGGGAGAGAGAGAGAGAGAGAGAGAGAGGGAGAGAGAGAGAGAGAGCGCACTAAGACTTATCTAACGTTGCACAGTGCTTTACAGCCCTCTCTAAGAGTCAGCCTCTTGCCCTTAACAATCTGGGTCCTCATTTTATCCACCTCGGAAGGACGGAAGGCTGAGTCAACCTTGAGCCTGGTGAGATTTGAACTGCCAAATTGCAGGCAGCCGGCAGTCAGCAGAAGTAGCCTG